AATTCAATGATACGATGAATGAGTTGAATATCAACATAACGCCCGTCACTGATGACACCATACCGTCCAATACTGCCGGCGCTGTCGGTGGTGTCGGTGTCAGCAACCGATCCCTACTGACCACCGCCTCTGGTCTACACCCGGGGGCTACGGGTGGCGGGGGGTTAGGGTCGGCGTATACCGGCGCCGGTCGTAATGTGGGCATCGAGGGGGGTGTTGGCGCCCGAGTCATGCGAAACGCCAACGACTGGAAGTGGGCTAAACAGGTATGTGTTGGTCGACCACCTGTTTGCGGTGATACTGGCCCTATCACTGGGGCTACCGGTGCTCTCATGAATGTGTATTCACTGTATGTTTGGGTGTCTCTCAGGACGGAGGCGAAGGACATTTGGGAACCGTTCGTAACTTTGAGTCGGCCGAAGAGGTGGTGGTTGTCTGGGATAACGGGACGGCCGCTAACTACCGATGTCTGGGCGCCTATGACCTGAGGATTGTGGACAGCGCTTCCACCGGTCCGTCGATACCACTCTTACCATTGATTATCACTCGACTGTTGCCTAAACTAACCATTTGTTGTGTCCGTTTGCATGTCTGTGCGCCTGACATACAGGTATCAAACACGAGGGAGCGATGTGTGACTTCTGCAAACAGTCGCCCATCTTCGGGATCCGCTGGAAGTGCGCCGAATGTATTAACTACGACCTGTGCTCCCTGTGCTACCACTCCGACAAACACAATGTGCGGCACCGGTTCTACCGGATCCTAAACCCCGGCTCCGAGCGAGTGATTATTGAGCCGCGAAGGAAAGGCAAGAAAATTGCAGTCAAAGGCATCTTTCCCGGCGCCCGAGTAGTCAGAGGTATGCCATTCACGGGACTCCTGTGTCTGAATGCGATTTTAATGATTTATTTTGCGCTACAGGTGTCGACTGGCAGTGGGAGGACCAGGTGTGCATCAATTGTTAATTCAATTATGAGTTAATTAATCTGTTTTATTGTATTTTGTGATGAATTAATGTACGGTTAGGACGGAGGGAACGGTAAGCGCGGGAAAGTGACAGAAGTTCAGGACTGGTCGGCCGCCAGCCCTCGTAGCGCCGCGTATATCATATGGGATAACGGCGCCAAAAATCTATATCGCGTCGGCTTCGAGGGAATGGCTGATTTGAAAGTCGTGAGCGACGTGAAGGGCCACACCGTATATAGAGACCATTTGCCACTACTGGGCGAACTGGGCGCCGGTAGGTCCAGCGTTCATGGCTTCCAAATTGGCGATATGGTGAACGTGGACCTGGACCTCGAGATCGTGCAGTCCCTACAGCACGGCCACGGGGGCTGGACTGAGGGCATGTTCGAGTGTTTGGGCACTACGGGAACGGTAGTCGGCATTGACGAGGACCACGACATAGTGGTGCTCTACCCGAGCACTAATAAGTGGACATTCAATCCGGCGGTGCTCACGAGAGTGGGCTCCAACACCAACGGCCACACGAACCCCAACATAAACATAGCGTCGGGTTTGTCGTCGAGTGTGTCGAACGGTATGGTCGCCGGCACGTCAGGCACTGTCGCACTGGAAGGTGCGACCGCTTCCGGCGGCATCGCCTCTAACATACAGTTCTCTGTCGGAGATTTGGTTCAGATTTGTTCAGATCTCGAAAGGATTAGAATCTTACAAAGAGGTGTGCATTTGAATAGTGTTTATTGAATCCACGAATTAACGAGTGTTTGACGGCACCGGTAGGTCACGGAGAGTTCGCCGAAGCCATGGCGCCGACATTAGGCAAAATCGGGAGAGTGCTGCAGATATACCACGACAACGACCTGAAAGTGGACGTATGCGGCACCGCCTGGACCTACAACCCGGCCGCTGTGGTCAAGGTGTCCAACGACGGCTCTACCGGTGCGGTGAACGCGTCGGGCGATGGGCTCAGCACTCGATTGAAGAAACTGTTTGAGTCGCACGTGTCGGGCGATCCCAACGAGGAGCTGGTGAAGGCGGCGGCCAATGGGGATGTCGTTAAGTGCGAGGAGATTGTCAAACGAGTGGAAGTGGATGTGAACGGCGTGTTCGCGAGCCATACGGCCCTTCAAGCGGCCTCACAGAACGGTCACATCGAAGTGATTAAGACACTGCTGAGGAATAACGCAAATGTGGAGATCGAGGACAGGGATGGCGACCGGGCTGTCCATCACGCGGCCTTTGGCGACGAGCCGGGCGTTATCACGGCGTTGGCCCAGTCGGGCGCCGACCTAAACGCCAGGAATAAGCGCCGACAGACTCCACTGCATATCGGTATGGAATTGAGTGTTAAGTAATGGTGTTTTGATTGAGTGAGTGATTGGTGTTTGTCTCTCGCGATAGCTGTAAACAAAGGTCACGTACACGTGGTTAAGACGCTACTAGAGCTGGGATGTCATGCGAGCCTTCAGGTGCGACCCATTTGTTATCTACTGTCGAGTGTTTGTGTCATTGATTTTGAGTAACAATTGTTTTATTGATTTGCGATACGAATGGATGGGTAGGACTGTGAGGGCGATACGCCGATCCACGACTCGATCAGCAAAAAACGGGACGATATGCTGGCGCTGCTGTTGGACCACAGCGCCGACATCACGTTAGCCAACAATAATGGCTTCAACGCCTTGCATCACGCGGCACTCCGTGGTAATCCCAGGTATGTCTACCTCTGTCTGGCTATCTGTCAGACGGTGTGTTTCTATCAGTTAATTAATTAATGATTTGCTGTAATTAAGAGTTAAGACAACTCTCTCTATATCTCACTCTTGTCTTAACAGACTTTCATTACGATTGTCTGTTTGGTGTGTTATTCACATCCATTTGTTACGTAATTCGTAGCCTTAATTGCATCGCGTCTGGTATTGTGTTGTGTGTGATTTGATTATAATTTGGTTTTTAGTTTTAGTTTTACGTTTATATTAGTTTGTGTTTCCACTCGTCGCGACTCCTAATCGGTTGCCAATCGATTGCAGTGCTATTCCGCTATTCTCGAGATAAGAAACACTTTTTTTGTTATTAGTTTTCTAGCGTTAGCTCTACTTTTGTTATACATTACCAGTGAATATAGCGCGACTTTATTCCCATACAAATGTATGTGCCGTACAATACAACACACACTCGCATATTGTGTTTAAAAAAGCAAATTTGAATAAAAGTTATAAAATACGAGCGAATCATTGGTTCAATAAATGGAGAGACCATTAGGTTTTGTTAAGAGTTGCGGCCATAAATATATGTGAAATGTTTATAAATGGCATTTAATTTAGACTCTGAATGTATAACATATGTGTGCAAATATATATTGTGTATACAGAATATTCCGCACACAGAATATTGACTATATTTTGTGTAAAATGTAATGCGAATATTGTGTGTAAAGTTAGCCTTTGGATCAATGGCTAAACAAATGGCAACAATACTCTTGTATGCGCTCTCCGGTCGCATGTTTTATTATAAGCCCCGGTATTTGGCCAGACCTACACCAATACATACAAACATTTTGTATATATTTTGCACTTTTTCAAAATGACCATTACTTATAACAATGCGTTTTTTGAGAGTTTTATTTATTTGTTTGGCTTTTAAATGTGTTTTGCCAGTTGTGTCTCAATTTTTTGCAATTCTCGGTTTGATAGGAATTTTTTGGAAAAATATTTCTATTTATTATTAATTTCGATGACATTTTTGTCGCTGAAAAGCCGACATAACTTTGTTGTAAGTTATGAGATAATCTCTAATTTATAGGGCTGTCGGTGTACTGATCAGTATATATGGAGAAATATTTCTATTTATTATTAATTTCGATGACATTTTTGTCGCTGAAAAGCCGACATAACTTTGTTGTAAGTTATGAGATAATCTCTAATTTATAGGGCTGTCGGTGTACTGATCAGTATATTATAAGCTTTTTTTTTATTGCATTTCCTATTGAATTATGTGTATTACAGACAGGAAAATTTTCGTGTCTTAAAATATAAACAAACTCACAAACACAGTCAGTATACTTCACATTCAAAAATCAATCGCTAGGCAAACAAACTGTGTTTGTAAGTTAATATATGACAATCGCGTATACACAGAGATCTGATTGGACCCCCATTTGGGAACCGTTGGCTTCTTGTATTGACTTCTGTGCGTGTATTCACACACTTAGACTATTAGCTCTCCCGAAGCCATTCAGAGAGAGAGAGAGAGAGAGAGAGAGAGATTCAATCGTTATGTTGCGAATCGATTGAATGGTTGTGCGCATTGGTCTGACGTTAAGATTATTTCTTTAACGGAATGTCAATACATAGACAACAGCACAAGAATAGGCTATTTCTCGCTTATTGTCTCCCATTCTTTCAATGTCTAAGTTCTCGCAAAGACTATAACCATAACTGTAAGACATCCAACAACTTTTGCCATCTCTCTCTCTCTCTCTCTCTCTCCTCCCGTTCCCATCCATGCAATTCCTTAACGGCCTCACCATTTGTTTTGTTATGTTTTGGCATTTATTTCGTTATTAATGTGTTTCCACTTTAAAGCGATGCCAGAGAATCAATAACAAGAACTTATGTCTGTATTCTGTATATACAGTACATCCAGAAGAATGACTATTCATTCCGTCTGAATGTGTCTCTCGAAGGCGAACACCGAAAGCGAAATGTTTTTTAGTTTCTTATTATTATTTGCCATTCATTCGGGACTTTCAATCAAACACTTCGCTTCAGTTCGCCATACATTCAATACATTCACTGCTTTTCTCAGTGTTAAATAAATTGTATTTTTCGCTCTTTTTTTGATTTAATAATAGGTTTGCACTGAATAATCATTGAATACTTTTATCCCATTTTCTTATTAATGGTATCCCAACTCTGCCCTCACTTTCCTATCTCTCCCACTCAACACAATACAAGTTTTATGTTTGAGTTTTTCTCCCTTTAAGAAGAATTGAGTTCTCATTAAAAGAATTGTAAAATATTTTCTTATTCTTGAGAGTATTTATTGCTATAAATATTTTATCCAAATGTCAAATAAAACTGTTTTAATGTTTAGTTATTTTAATTAAATTCCTTATTGTTTTCGAAACAATCACAACAACACATAACTTACTGTACAATACTTGCCATTACTTCACAATTGTTATTCATTTTATGATTTTTCTCTTATCTCATTAATTTTCTTAAACATTATATCGACTTTAAAGTGATTACCGTTTTAATAGTACTAAAAGGTTTTGTTGTGTATATTATCCATGCTTTTGGGTTATAATATCTCTCTCATCAGTCCCTTTCAGTAATGCCATTGAATTCTAGATCTAATGTTATTCAATGGATTTTGTTAGACATTTATATTTTCGTGTATATGTTGTGTAAGAATTGGTTTTGTCATTAGAATTAAAGTATTAGTGTTTTTGGGAATGCATTTCAATCCATTTACTTAGAAATCCGATACACATATACTCTGGTAAATACCAGTCCCTTGTATGTCAGTCCATGTATTCACTGCCGGCTAGTTATCCGATCGGTAAATATTTATTCAAATATTTATATTTCGATTTTGGATTAATTTTTATGATTATATTTTTAAATTTTATGTTTAGAATAGAAATTTATTATTATTATTACGATGATCCAGAATATTCTTGATTTTGATAATATTTTTTTTATGTTCTTGTGTATTTTAGTTCAATTCTTACAGAATTTTATATTTTTACTATAAATTCCGTATAAATTTTGTATATATTTGGCGTAATTCTGGCGCTAAAAATACGATAAATGTTAGGAATTTTGTTTTAAGTGTTTTATATATCGCTCGACAACAACAAGATTTTTAACATATTTTGTGCGCTATTATATTGAATTGAATTTTTATTCTCGACAATAATTTTTATTTTATTTATATCCGACTTATCTTTTTATTTTAGACTTTCATTTTTTATTACACTTTTTAATGCCTTTTGTGTTGTGCGAGCGCCTGATGTTTGCGACGAGGATTTGCCCCCAAAATGGCAGCTTTAGGCCATTTTTCGGCGACTTATGCTAACGTTAAACAGTTTTATTTATTTAATTGCTTTGATTTCGTTTATTTCGCTTTTGTTTTATTTTCTTAGCATTTATTTGATTATAAATTTTAAGTACATTTGAGTGAAAACTTCTTAAGTCTTATTGTACTCATGAATGCCTCGTCTCTCTCTCTCTCTCTCTCTCTCTCTCTACACTTATTTCGATTCAATACTCGATTCCGTTGAATGTATTCTTGAGTTGCTTTTATTCATTCAACTTTTTAAACGTCTAAATATTTTATACATTTTATATCGTTTAGAAACTGAACCGTCTTTTTATCACACGTTTGCCAACACATAGAGAGACACATGAGATGTTGTTTTCTATGCATTCGTTCCGCACATATACTGTATGTTTAGTGTCCATTGGCTGTGAGTTACTGTTGTCTCGTATTATGAATTCAGTATTTGAGACAATAATAAGTGTTTTGCAATTTATTGGCCCTAACGTCACGAATACAGGAATTACAGTCTAAACTGATCGTCGATTTCAATGCGATATCTGTACAGAATTGCACGGAATATACAGTGTATACGACATATACAGTACTACTGTATTGTATATTGTGTTATATTCTGTATATATTTGGCTTTCATTTCACATACATCTCTCATCTCTGTCTATATATCTGTCTCTCACTCTCACTCTATCGCATCCCTATCCCCATCACTATCTGTATGCCCTCTCAACCTACTGGTCCTTAAATGCGAGATATTTGTAATTCAAGTCACACTTATTTTCTGCAAATTTACTTTTGGGAATTTCGGTTAATCGATGAGCACTGCCACCACTGCCTACCAGTGCCCTACCGATGCCTTTTGTGTTCCAATTGCTCTCTCCGACGTACACTAGTATATCGTTGATTATGTAAATCTTTGCCTCCCGTTCCTCTCTCTCTCCCTTTCCATTTGTTTGTCCGCATTTCAGATACAAACATAATCTGTAAATAAAAACATATTATTCTGTGTTATGTTTGATATAATTTGAATATTTTTTGTTATTATTCTTATGCCATTTCTGTTGTCTATTATTTATGTTTAAAGTATATCTTATTTCTCTACAATTTTTTGTATACATTACAGTATACTTACATAACATATGCGTTGAGCTAATATTGTTTGCTCTTTGAGTGTATCGTAAGTCAATTCTTTTCTCTCCTGTGCTCTCTCTCTCTCTCTCTCTCTCTCTCTCTCTCTCTCCTCTCATTTTCATTTGAGGGCAAGACTTACTGTTTGAGTGTTTTTGATTACAATATAAGAATTAATGCGGCAGTGGTTTGACTTTGTGTTAACTGGTCCTTAAATGCGAGATATTTGTAATTCAAGTCACACTTATTTTCTGCAAATTTACTTTTGGGAATTTCGGTTAATCGATGAGCACTGCCACCACTGCCTACCAGTGCCCTACCGATGCCTTTGTGTTCCAATTGCTCTCTCCGACATACACTAGTATATCGTTGATTATGTAAATCTTTGCCTCCCGTTCCTCTCTCTCTCTCCCTTTCCATTTGTTTGTCCGCATTTCAGATACAAGCATAATCTGTAAATAAAAACATATTATTCTGTGTTATGTTTGATATAATTTGAATATTTTTTGTTGTTATTCTTAT